TCCCTCGCTCTCCCTCGCTCTCCCTCGCTCTCCCTCGCTCTCCCTCGTTCCCTCGCTCCCTCTCTCCCTCTCTCCCTCTCTCTCACCCTCCCTGTCCCTCCCCCTCCCCCCTCCGTCTCTCTCTCTCTCTTTCTTCTAAGGATAAGGCAGTCCGACTCCTGATCCCTTCCCCGTTATATAAGGCCTTGCCAACCCCTGATTTAGTGGTGCGTTGGTTACCATGTTCGGGGCTGATTTGCTTCGTCAGAGGAGAAACGCGGTTCAGACGCCCCAGGCCCACAAGAATTCCAACATCCTCGGTACTGTAGCAGCACTGCAGCGTCTCACCATCCCCCATCTCCCACCTGCTCATTGTGGCAGGGCTTCCTCCAAGACGTGAAGCGCTTTCAATCGCCCAACGAAGTCGTAGGCACGTGGGTGGATCTACACTGGAGTTGGTTGGTTTTTTCCAATGGCCCTGAAGCTTTGGGTACGGTACTTCTGTCGGCTCCGTGTCAATCTGTCTAGGACCGACCGCAGACTTCTAGGACCGACCGGCCGCCGAACAGCCGGGCTGACTCCAGGTGGTGGAATGGATCAGGTACGAGAGGAGCTCTATGGACCCACAGCCCTACCCATCCTCACCAGTGATGCCAAGGCGCGGGATGCGTGCGAGATATGCAAGCCGTGTATGGCTGGTCCATGGAAAGATGGGGAAGATAAACTCATTGGCAGAGACCAGTTCACCCCAAGGCCTCACTCTTGATAAATATGGCACGGAAGCTTCTGTGAACTTCTGTGTCAAGAAGATATTGAAGCTGGAAGAGGAAGTGATGCACTTCCTTCACAGATGTCCTTCACAATTGTGCTTGACTTGCTTCGCTCAGGCGAAGGCTTGCTTCTCTGGCGCAGAGCCCAGGAGGAGGCAGCTGGTGATTGTCGCGGGCTGAGCATGAGGGGAAGATGAAGCCTACGCCCTACGGTTGACAGAAGAAATCCTGCACCGCTTTGACATATATATATATATACACATAGCTCATCCACACCTGACAAACCCAAAGCCCAGCACCCTCGGCTATAACAGTGTTAGAAGAGGGAGCGAGCGTTAGGGTTTGAGGCATCATCCTCACAAAGTGGTGCAGGATTTTTGCGTCAGCAGTAGCAAGGAACACAGCCCTCTTATCTATGTGGTTGAGGCATGTGTGGAATCCTAGGGACTTCACGTCAAAAAGCACGTCTGGCCCTTTCCATTGCAATGGTTGCCCAGCATCCATGCAGAAATTCCCAAACACCCAACGTCATGTCTTCTGGAACTTGTGATGAGTTCTCGGCAGACACTTCTGTGATTCTTCTCCAGTACTGCAGAAAGCGGACGAATGTGCATTGCTTCAGCCTGGCCATCAATTATTTGATATGTTGGACCCAAGGAACGTGTTGCTTTGAACGTGGCCTATCGAGAATTCTTGGAGCCGCCAACTCAGAGGGCTGGGCGAGCTCGCCAGTCACGGTCTGCGAGTGGTTTGAGTGTCAATGTGCCAAGCCTGAGTCAATTGTAGCTTGAATGTAGTCCTTTGCTGTTCCCAAATAGCTAGATCCGACATCAGCCAAGGCTACAATCCAGGCATTTCTAATTGTGTTCTTCATGTGCGGACCATTTCTATTGGTGTGGTCTGGCTCCCAACCCTCCGCACTCACTCGGTGTCCTTTCATTGCGAAGAGGTCACAACGGCATTTGGAAGAACTCGGGAAGGGCTCTGCCCGCAGCGGGGTCCAGCAGCTTTGTCACCGTTGGGTCAAGACCCTGGCAGAGCTGCTGAAGGACGAGCAGTGTGCCTTACGCCAAGGGAAAGGATCCCGGGCCTTTAAGGAGACCTGCGGGCGGATGTAGTTTGTGGCGTTGAAAGCTGGGATAGAGTGGATGAGAGAGTTCAACCTTGGAATAGTATTTAGCAAAACCAGGTGGGTTTCGTTCAGGCTGTGGAAGGAAGAGTTCTTCTACACATTTTCGGCTTTTTGATGGGGTGTGCCATTTATTCAAGCCAAAGTATGCTGGCTCATGCCAGGAGCTTCAAAACTGCGGATTAGCTCCAGATCTTATGGCCATACTGGCTAGTCAGACCTTGCTGAACTTGATCTTCCTACCGAACTACCGGCACAAGGCAAAACCGACGTCGTTTTGGCGACGTCGTGCTGGTGGAAAAGTTCTCCTGCAATACCGGTTCGAGTTCGAGGATGGCTCACCATTGACCATGGCTCTAAAGAGCTTGGGCGCCAGCCCTCGCAACAGTAGGACTCAAGAGGTCCCTGGGTCCACAGGGGTTTGGATGACATCCAAGGACCCGTTGAGTTTCTTGAGGAACACTTGTTCCATTTCACAGTCCCAAAGCCCTTGAACAAGGGGACGTGATACACCTAGAGATTTCTTCCTGTTTCTTTCTTTTTTGGGCCACAGCCATACCAGAAGCCAGGCTGTGGCAAAGTATTGTCAGTATGCAAAGCCATGATCTATATATATATATATTATATAATAGATATGATAATATAGTTTAATATATATATATATATGTATACCGCCGGACTGAAAGTTAGAATGCCTATCACCGGGTGGAGAGTCTAGGTTTCGGCTACCACTTAGAATGCCTCCCAGCACATTGAGGCGTACCTGAGACGTGTCTTAAACAAATATTGAGACGTACCTGGGCTAATTTGTATATAATATATATGAGTTGTTGAAGTGTTTTGCCTAGTGCCTTGGCTCAAAAAAGGAAATTTAGGTATTTGAGCTGGCGCCATGCAGCAAACGTTGCATGCCGTCTTGAAAAAGACCATGTCAAATCCTATCCGCCGCCTCTTCCAGCTCCTGTGAATCCACCATCTCCACCATGATTGAACTCATCTCCCATTGAAGATCTATATATACTTGAGAAATATATATATATATATACATACACATCGTGTTTACATGATTCAATCACTGTATAGAGCTCATTTGATGCAAAGCACTCTAGCCGGACTGACAGTTAGAATGCCGCCCTAAATCTTTACTATTTGTGGGGCCGTGCAGGCATTCTAAGTGTAGGAAAATGAGACACGCATTCTAAGCCTCCACCCTGGAGCCGGTACGGCATTCTAACTTTCAGTCCGGCGGTATATATAATATAATATATACAATTACTTTTTTTCTTTTGTTGATTCCACTGAGAGGTCGCATCATTTGTAAACATAGCCTATTTATGTCATATGCACTCAACTCTCCCTGCGTTTTGTACAATGGATTTGGAAGTAGATGCTCCGTTTTTTAAATACAGCTGAATCTGGACGGATTTGGGCTTCCAAACTTCAGTCTTAAGTGAGTGGCACAGAATCCAGTTCTGAACTCCAAACGAGTTTTCCAGCTTTCCAGCCTTTTGCCTTTAAGTGAAAAGAATCTGTTCATGACTTTGGAAGAACTGCCCTTCGCTTTCCGAGCTAGTCTTGGGGCGTGGTGAAACCAGGACGACCTCCAAGCGGACGCAAGAGCTGGAAAGCTTCTTCGCATGGAAACGGGAACAGGGACCTGGGGACAAACGGGAAACCAAATAGGCGTTGGATGTCGGTGTGGCCAGAAGCCAAGAATCTGCTAGTGGGGGAACTCTTAGAGAATTATATAGCCAGTTTTGTTGGAATGCACCATTCGACCTGGGAGTTTTTGGCTGGTCCAAATTCAGATTGAAGGGTCCAAATTGGTGAAATTGCGACCTGAAGGGTCCCTAAGCCCCACCTGCCCATGGCAGCTTTTTGAAATTTGCCGAAGCCATGCCACCTAGGTACGGAGAGGTACCCTTCGTGACGATCGCGACCCAAATCGGCGAGGCGCGCAGCCTGTGACTCGATGGGAGGCGGAGTTGGCCCCCAACGGCGGAGGTGTCAAACAGACCTCGGGCCGTGCTGTGCGCACGGTTGGCAGTGCTTGGCACCCAGTCCCTGAATTTCCGTCGCACCCAAGCTCAACCTCCCGGTTCTGTGGATATTTTACCGTTGGGATGTGGCCGATTGGTGAGTTCACCACAGCTTTGTCGTAGGGTGTCACAACCACCAAAGGCATTCGCGGCCGCCTAGGTTTTTGCTCATCGGGCCTCTCATGCACCTGTGCCTTTTACTATTTTTCATGACATAGATGTCTGCTATGTGCTGCTACAACGTTTTGTACCACTCGCACTCCAAAACCACTGTACGGGGCGGATCAGACTAGAGACGATCTGAGTTTCTCAAGCGCGGAGCGCCCAGCTGGCGCTGGATCGCAGACAGCCCAGCATCTGACTGCTAAGCACACATCTGGACCTTCCAACGGATGTGCAATGGAATCTCACAAGCCGTGTAGGGTAGTCGAGCTTATCGTTGATTGCAACTGCGGATTGGGGTGGGTTTCTGGCTCCCTCCTGTTTCCTTTGGATGTGTCTTAAACTCGGGATGCCCTAAGAGCACGGGCGTGAAGTTCATCCGAAGCATCCATGAAACTCCATGACCGAGCGGGCACGGTCCACCCGAGCGAGCGAGCTCGTTGCAGGCGGTGCAGATGGAACGATACCATCTGGATGCGAAGATCAACTTGAAAGATGATCCAGGAGGTGGTTACCCCGTCGTGCTAAAAGAGATTTATCGGTCCCGGTCTCGAGCTGGGGAAGTCATGACTTGCTGGACAGGTGTGCTTGAGGCTCCTTGGAAAATGCACACAAAATAAGGCTGAATAAAGAGCACACACACACACACATATATATATACACACACATACTTTTTTCTTATTCAAGCGCCTCAGAATCAGAAGCGCTAATAACGGGAGTTTGGGGACCCTCAACTTTTCAAGGCGTCGCCATCTTCACCTCCTGTAGTTGTTTCGCGGTGGCCAGGCCAGCAGTGGAAGCAGCGCTGGAGACAGGCAGCAGCTGAGCAGCAGAATGCTTGGCACGGCTCAGCTATTGTTCACTTAGGAGGCCTCGTCATCCAATCCATCTGAACCCCTCTGAACATCGGCCCATGTGTTGAGGCCTATACGGACGCCCGGCGGACTGTGCAGTTCGGGTCCTGCTTGGCGGACATGCTGATCGAATATGCTGAAGTTGACCTAGCAGCCCATCAGGCGGGCAGCAAGGCAGCAGGGAGGATGATGGGCAGGGTCTACTAAAGAATCAATGAGTTTCTGAGTAGGGAACCAAAGGACAAACTGCTGAAGGTGATGCACTGTTGTGATCTAAGTTCAAAGCTTTTCCTGTATAAGTGAAAAGTGAAGGCAGAGAGATTTGGCCAAGTGAATCAAAAGAGGAAAGCCGGCTTCATAATGATTTGTTTCAGGTATTTTGGGCATAATTTGAGGTTTCTTTCAATCCTTGCTGGTCGCCGTTGGTGAGGTTGACCAACAACACCAAATCTCCAACCAACCAACCGACCGACCGACTCACCGACCAACACAAATTTACGGACGCTGGATACGTTCACTGTCGATCTCTCATAAGGTCCAGGTTTTCATTGACATGGAGGACATTGGAAGACCCGACCAGGGACAGTCTCGGAACGGCAACTTTCCGTATTATTGTTTCCTTTCACCTATTCTTGCTTTCAAAGTTAGGCTACTCTCCAACCTAGAACCAATTCCTTGTTTCTATCTTTTCCATATTGGAACATTTTGCCTTCTAAGATTCTACGTAGTTGTGAGCCATTTAGACCATTCAATTCTCACAGAAGTCTCATCTTCGACATGCGGATCAGAGCAGCCACCAGCGGATTGCCGTGCAGAGTCTCAAAATGACAGCCGTGTTCATTCTTTTTCGGGAGTGTACATATGGAGATGACATGTTTCAAAAAAAGTTTCAAATCGACTCCTTGAAGAAGATTCCTCTCTTGTGCCCCTGACGGTCGTGCGACTGGTCGTAGAACATCACTGACGGTCACTGGTTGTACCATCGAGGTGGCCTCGTCCAGTACTTCGGCGTCACCGCGGTTGGTCAAGGTGCAGGGCTCTGGCCAGAGCGAAATAGGAGAGATGACAGGAGCCAGCCCCTAGTAGCTTCTTGCTCCTAGGAGAGATGACTATGTGGTTGATGGGGATGCAGAAGCACCATAGATGATACCCCCTTGTCCCTTCTTTGAAGTATGCCCTTTGAAGCAAGTCTTGTTGGACGCGAGCAATCGCCGCTTCAAGAGCAGAGTTCAGCTGGGCCTCTCAAGAACGAGGAGACCTGCCGGGTGACTTTGGAGAAGCTGATGAACACGCTGTGTCCGTCAGGACTACGGTTTATGATGGGGCCCTCCTCTTGAGACCATGCCTTTGATGGATATGGGAATGCCAACTTGGACCAGAGGTCTCTTTGTATCAGTTTGCACATCAGTTCTGGAGCCCTCACCAAGTTAGATGACGTCCCCGAAGGAGATAAACAGCTATATAATGAAAGCAACAAATTGTGCAGCGTGACTTGGGTGCGCACCAAACAACCTTTTCTCCGCTGAGATAGGGCTGGACCTCCACATGGGGATGTAGAGACTTCCCAACCTGTGGGCTTGAGACAAACCCACAGCCAACCCCTTGTGCCAACCACCATTGGAAAAAACCTGTGAAGGCTCCGAATACAGTAATACAGAAGCCACAAGCCTATCTAAAAATAACAAGTAGGTCAGTGATGGTCCGCAAGCTTGTGAGGGGCAAAACTTGAATGGAAAAATGGCCTCTTTCTTTCTTTCTTTCTTTCTTTCTCTCTCTCTCTCTCATTTCTCTCTCTTCCTTTCGTCTGCCACGGGAGTCGGAGGTCATTTCGAGGCCGAAATGACTGGCCCCTCTCGCCCTTTCAGCATTGATTGGTGACCATTGGTGACCCATCCTCTCTGGGACAAGCGTCAGGACCTGCTAAAGCTTCATACAGCTTTCCAGTTTCATGCTTTGTTGGACAGGGATACACAACCATTCGGATTCAGTTCAATCCATTGCCCCCAACCATCTCACCATCTTGGAGTCCCCAACCATTCTGCGCACCCGCGCCGCCCAAAAAGAAGGCCTTCAATCATCGCCTCCGCCGCGAAGGGAAGAAGAAGGTGTCGCTGGGGGGTTTTGGGTGGCATTGGATGGCCTTGGGCGGTTTCCCTTGGTGGTCAGTAGAATGAGGTTTCTTCGCGCAGGTGGCCGCCAACTTTAAGGGTGACTGAAACATGTTCACTTCTGACTTGGCTACTGTGAAACAGAACTTAGCCCGCGGGTAGTATTTGTGCACCAACAACCTCTGCAACACCTGTTCATCAATTCATCAGCCTCGTGAAGTGCTTTGGACGCTAACTGCTAGCAGAGCTGAACTCTCATTGTGCTAAGCAGTTTCCATTGTTCAAAATTATACCGTGGATGTCCAACACCTGAGTTATATAAGGGAACTATAGGGAACTTCTACTGTATGTATACATATGTATATATATAACTTGTATGTGTTTCTACGTCGAACAGTGTGCAGGAAAAGTTTTTGCAATTCTCCATTGACCTTGACCCCGTGGAGACTTCGTTCCAAGCAACAACCAAGAAGCCAAAGCAAGGCTTCCTTTCTTGCTTCTACGTTGAGCAGATTGTAGAAGGAGTCACAAGTGTGATTTTCTATTGATAAAGCTTTCCTACCATAGATCATTCACCGTTTTTCTTTGTGGAGGGTGCCTCGCGCACTCCAGCTCTTCTATTTCAGCCAAAAACAAGCAGCCAAGCAGCCAACCAAGCAAAACCAGCCATTGCACAAAGCCCAAAGCCCCAACTTGGGTTTGCTGAAGGAGGCAAACAGGAAAATGGGGTTGGCTGGTTTTTAATTTTCTTGAAATGCTTTTGTGCGCGTGCTAGTCCCTGGCTTTAGTCTTTTGATTTTTCATGATTACTTCTTGGTTTGTAGCTTGTGGTCTTTCTTTCAGGCTGAAGCTACGCAGCATTCTTCTGAAGAACACATCAAACGATGCATTTGGGGCCAATTTCACCATGCCCTGCGGCCCTGCGCAGCTTCACAGCCAGGTGGGTGTGGTCTCTTTGGACCCCCAGGTCCGGGCCATGGTGGATGAAGTCGCCGGGGGCCCCGAGCGGAACACCACCGCACGTGTGACGTCGTGCGCGTGTCCACTTCGTGCACACGGTCTTTTGCTTGGCGCAAGCGCGCATGAAACCAGCAGCTCGGAATGGCTGGATAGCGGCTCGGACATGCGTGGTTACTTGTGAGAGCAGATTGAATCGTCAACGGCAACAGGCACTTGCAACAGGTGCAGAGAGATTTGGGGCCCTGTCGAAGGCAAAAAGACTTCTCCCAAGATTATTGGACTGTGTTTGGTACTGCAGAGTTCCCATGCAGCAATGCCCCTCAGAAACAACATGCAAAATGGGACTTCAGGAAGGCACCCCGCTGATAAGTTGGGCAAAGTGAGTAACACCACCTCGAAGACCGGCCCAGCCGGACCGCTGTAGGTGCTGTTAACCGCCAAGTGAACCAGTGGACAGCCCTGCTTTTTTTCTTTTTTCGCTATGCGCTTGAATGTTTCATAGATTTATGTTTACATTTTCCTCCCTACCTGGCACCGTTTGGGAGGCATATGGGCGCGTCTCGGCTCTTGTCTCCCAAAACATCTGAGGGCCTGTGGCGCTTCATCCATCCCAAGCACAAACCGATGATCTTGCCACCCGCTCCTTGGCGGCCTGGTGGCTTCCGCCCCCAAGGCCCACGCCAGAAAGGGATTGGGAGGGCAGTGGAGGAGGGCGAGGGCTGGAGAATTGGCGGATGTGATGTCAATCCAGGAACATCCCAGAATGACATCGTCTGGTTCTTCTGCATAAACTGATGGCCTAATCCTTTTTTAGTCTATATAGTTTTGCAATTTTTGCATAAACACGCGTAATCCATTTGGGGAGAGCGGAAAGTCAGTTTTCTTTTTTCTTTTTTGCTGGAATTGGAATGCTGCTAAAGGGTTGTGCCGGCCAGCCCTGCCAGCAGCCAGGCTGAGAAATTGGGGGTTCGACGGTGTCATGGCTCATGGACTTTTCGGGGCAAGAGGCCTTTGGGCCACCCAGGTGTTTTTGAAGGCATGCAAGAACCCTTCGCAGATTAGCTCTGGCAGGGAAGCTTTTTGAAGGACCGTGAACTGTGCCAGGTCCGTACTTGATTCACAAGGTGGAGTTTGTCCGGACCAATGCACAGCAGTTGACCAACCTGCCGTCCTACAACCCCACCAGCGTGGCCAGGGTCATGGACCGGGCCGGATTGCGGATGGGTGTGAGTGCGAAAAGTACAGGATGTCGGTGGCGAAAGAAGCCAGGTCTAGCTTTTCGAAGGAACCTTTCATATCTTTTCATCATGTTGTAATTCATGAGCGTATTGACCCCAAAGCAGGATAAAGCAGGTCACTTGGGGGCGCTTCGGGACTCCAGGAAGGTCACTAGCTTGTCGAAGCAACGCGGAGGGGGGCAGATATTGGGCCAGATGGGTGCGTGTGGTGTGAGGCCTATACTCCTTACCAGACGGGCCTACAAGCAACACATCTCATCCGGATAGGATTTTATAAAGACAAACACTTTTTGTGGAAGGCCCAAGACTCAAAAAGGAGAGCTGCAAACAACATTTTTCCTGTTTTGGACTATGGTTGCTCACAGGGCCCAAAGCAGGATATCATCGGCCTTCTAGAATGGTATTCAACCAGCATTTTTAAAACACCTTTTCACAGCTTCAAACTACGTGGAACTGGGGTTGCGTCAGTGGTGCTTGCTCCGTTTTCTAAAATCCACCGGGTCAGCCAAAACACTTCGTTCGACCGCAGGACTTCCTGGGTCAAGTGCCCTGGAAGGTCAATGGTCGAATCTTGCGCCTGATGAGACAGGTGCCCAGGTCGAGCTGACTCGAGAGTAGAGTTCGTTTCTGATCGGAGACACAGAAGAAGAAGAGATCCGTTCTAGGGTACCAATTGGTAGTAAGGGCTGTCCATTCACCACGATCCAATGGTCTGAGGGTTGAGTCCAAAGTGCAGAAGAGGGCAGATTGTAAGCCTAGCCATGCTGTCCTTTGGTTCAAGTTGTGCTTTGGTACGTTTTGTCACAATTTTCAGTGCCAACGTCGCCCAGCATGGCGACAAATGCACCCCTCCTGGGGAACCAGAGCAAGAAGGGCGGGCACTCGAAGGCTTCCATTTTCTATGGAGCTGATGAGTACTTGGAGGAGCTGAAGAAGAAGCACCTCGACTCCCGTCACTGACAGCGTGTCACCCCGAGAACCTCTTCATAGAGAGAAAAGGCCTCCGAGCCTGCAGAGATTGGAAGCCCCTCTGAAAACAGTAGGACTATATATTCGATTCCCCCAGGTCTTTTTTTGGTCACGACTCGTTTTGATGTGCGACACAGAGTCAAGAGCAAGCCCACAGTCCAGAGACATAGTGACTAGTGACTAGCATAAAAAGTGCTGTATGTGAAACCGAATCGTTTCTATCTATCGATCTGGGGTCGAGACGGATCACATGAGTGGAATGCCACGTACCTCCTCGACATTGGACACGGAGTTGCGGAAATGCAGTGACACTGTATGTACGCTGCATTTTTTCTTCAAGATGGTATGTTTGAGCCAAGTGGAGCTACATAGAAGATGCCATGTTATATGGCATATTTCTTTTTTGTGGGGGTGTACCACATACACATATACAAAGGGTATTTGCTTGCGCAGGCCAAATGCGTTCAGGCTTAGGCTTGCATTGGTAGGGACCTTCTTGCTGTTCATCTATGAGCATGATCTCATCAGTTTTGCACAGGCAGCCAACTTTAACACCACTGCAGTGGGTTACCTTGGAGGCTTCGCTATGTGGGTTGAACCCGCAAGCACCCAACAAAGAACTCATGCAAGATATTTGCTTTTGAGATGCTCACCAGGGGCACCAGATTTTGACCCACATCCTCTGTTTGTCTGCAGAATGCTGTTGCTATCATCATCATCATCATCATCATCATCATCATCATCATCGGAGAAATGCTGTAGGTACGCCCATGACCACGAGATTGCGGCCATGAAGAACTTGCTGCCAGGTGAGGCTGATCCCAATGCGGCAGGGGTAGCCCAGAGCCAGGACAGACTTGGGAACGGCAGGCTTTGAAATTGCTCAAGGCCGTCGCTGTTCGCTGGGCCGAAGCTTAGGTGTTGGATGGCGAAGGGCTTCCACGGCATTGGCATCGTGTTACCCATTAACAGTTTTCAAAAGTTTTCAATAGCCAGGACAAGATGCTGAAGGTGGAAAAGGACAATGAGAACAGGAGCTTGAAGACCAAGCGTTTGTTCCCGACCGCCAACAAGCCGGACCCGATGCCACAGAACTTGGCCTTTTTGTTCACCAAGATCACTCCTGAGCCCTGGAATGCAGAAGCAGCAAATCCATGGGGGTGCCAGCCCAAGACTTTGTCCAGGTGCCAGCCCCTGAGCCACACAACAAGGGGTCCGTCCATTAAAACAATACACCCATGTAGGATGTAGATGTTTTTTTATTTGGCCATAGTTTGGGGGTTAGTGCCTGGAAATTATCCAATCGGCAGGTTTTGAATCTCATAGGATTTTATCCAACCATTGTCCTGGTCCTCGTCAATGTAGAAGAAATGAAGAGATAGAAAAGAAGAGATAGAGAGAGAGAGAGAGCAGAGACTTTGTCGAGCATGTTGCCAGATTCGCCGACAGAGATTTTCCGAGCTCCATGGTAGAAAGATGTAGATAGAGAAGAATGTAACAGCAATACCGAGATTGAGTAGAAAACATATGTTTCATACATTTTTCTACTGCAGGATGCCAGAAAATATGGAAAATCAAGATAGGTGAGGGATCTTGATGTTGTACAGGTGCCTACGTGTGCATGGTACTGCTATGTCTTCAAGCTTGTTGGCCATTTTGTCCATCAAGTAGAATCGTATCAAACATGTGCATCCTAGAAAAGAATTGGATATTTTCACTGGTGCTGAGATATAAAACCACTTCTGGGATATGCTATAAAATTGATCTGCTTCTGCTAGGTCTTGAGAGCTTTCCAAAATAATTACTGTAGAAATTGTTCAATGGCTGTGAACCTTGAAGGTGCACTGACATTTGGACAAACCATCCTTCAATGCAGACTATGAACTCTGCTAAATCTGCTGCAGCTCAACAAAGAAGCTGCTTCACGGTAAACACTGGGCGTTGTACCCCTGGTAGACTCCTGGAAGGTGCAGGTCCAAAGAAGCTGTCAAGTCTACAGAATACCTGCCAACATGTATAGACCGAACAGTGCGAGTTTTTCAAACGGCAAACCACCAGACACCAGCGAGTGAAAAGATCGGACTTTTCAGACCGGTCCCCCGACAGATTTCGGGCCTGGGATCAGAACCTATTGTTGACCATTGGGATGTCAAGCCTTTCAAAAGTATCCATTTTCATTGTTGTGTGTTTTATCGTTTTCTTTTTTTCGAGCTAGAATTGAACCTCAGTGTCTCAAATGATCTGGCTGAGAAAGGGTCAGTCCTCCCCCAAAAAATCCGTGTACAGACCCTGGGCCCCAGTAAAACGGTGTATATATCTGATTTTGACCCTCCAGTGCATCGAGTTTTTTCAGTCTCTCTCAAATAAAAGCACATGGCAGGTTGCATGTGATGATGGAAGACTGCACACTTACTATCCACGAGACGCGGAAGTGGACGGCATAAAGCCGTGAGGTTCCGACGATTCTCTGGGTCCACACAGCGGGTCAGATCCTCCAAGTCACTCGTTTGTGTTCTTCTTTAAACATCCGATCGCTGCCGCGGGGTCCGATCTGCTCCTTTACCGTCCTGAGGAGCAGATGATGTACATGTGGAATGTTTTGACGGCCATCTTCATTGGACAGGTGCTCATGGTGATCGCTTATTGTGGGGCCCTGGCCACGCTGCCGGACTACTGGTGGACCTGCACGCTGCTCTTCGGGATTCCCTTTTCCTACATTGCGATCCAGCAGATCCTGGGGCGTGGTTTGGAACATGTTTTCACTTTCCATTTCTCCATCCATATTTGGGACAGGTTATCCCAAGTAGCCAATACTTTTGGCGATGGTTGAAGTCACCAACTAGGATCTATATCGACCACGATGAGCCTTGGCCTGCTGAAAAGGATGTGGCTCAAAAGATGTTCGACTCCGGACCCGGATCTTTGGAGGTCTACTCTTGCATTTGCCAGTGGGTTTTTGCTTTGGCAGGTACTTGATTTTTGAGCCACACCACCTCAATGAACATTTTGGACAAGTTTTTCTCACCCAAACAAGCATTTCTATTGCGATTGTGAGACAACATGGCTCTGTGTGCGCCCAGAAAATCTCACCAAGGTCATGCACGGGGCCACATTTCCCGTGTATGATTGGCAGAAGTACTTGACCCATCCTTTTGCAGACTTCTTTTCCCTGCCTTGGGAAGAATTTGTGTTGGAGCACAACCGCCACCATGCAAGCACGGTGGACCTCTTGATCCAGGGAGAGTTCGGTTGGGACCCAGAGGACGGAGGTTACGTGTGGATGGCGGAGGTGGTAAAACAGCGCGGTGGCCCCCACCGTGAACAGACACATCGTATTTGTCTCTCCGTGAGTCCGCGAGGCCATTGTAATGTCAGGTGAATGGCTGCAGGTCAGAGTGAACTGGAAGAATTTTGTCAGGAAGATGGTTGGACAAAATGCCAAACAAAGGCGAATCTTCAGTGAACCAAGCTGACACGGACAAGAAGTAACACTTGCTTTCTCAGAAACTGAAAAACGGACACTGAGTGACTGAGTTTGATCAGAAGAACTGAGACAGTGGTTGAACCGTAACTCTGTGCTGTTCAGAACGCGAACGCGTCTCTTCCAGACAGCGCGCGTCCACTTAGGTGGATGAGGACTTGACAGACCGAAGATGCAGATTTCTCGGAAAGAAAGCAGAACACAAAGGGCTGTAAGGGGCATTTTATAGCGATGCCAGGAGCCCCTACTAGCGTCCTTGCTCCTAGTAGCGATGCCAGGAGCCCCTAGTAGCTTCTTGTTCCTAAGTAGGCTGCGGGAGAACTGCCAGATACAGAGGTCGTTCGCAGACGGCCGCTTTCCAGCGTTGTTCGTTGCGGCAGGAGTTCCACTACGCCTTGCAGCAGTGGGCAGGACCCTTCAGCACCAACTGGTACACATCTTAGTACTGTCCAAGGTTTGTTGTTTGAACGAGTACTCTTTCCAGAGTTGCTTCTCAGATGGCTTTAGACCCGCATTAGTCCAGATGCAAATGAGTGCTATCCGGCAGAAATGCTGAAATGAGTACCACTCTGACGCTCTGACTCTGACTAACATATATTGACCAACAGCGAAGCTTGGGGGTCTTCAGCCTTAGTAAAGACTATGGAGCAGATCGGAGCAGGTGCCGGAGCAGGTTTCGGAGTAGGTTCCAGAGCAAGTTGTGGAGCAGGTTCCGGAGCAAGCCCCGGAGCAGGTTCCAGCGCTCCGGAGGAGGTTGCAGAGAAGCTCCGGTTCTGGAGCAAGTTCCGGAGCACTTTGCAGATATGCAGTGTCTTGCTGACATGCTGAGTTGTTGCCGATGCGCTGATGTGGTGTAATGTTACGTTGGTGTGTTGTGTATATAATGCTGTCATGGACGTGTAGACACGCGACATGGTTCACGCTAATATGCTGGCGTGTTGTCACGCCGACATGTTGTCAGGTTGTCACGCTGACATGTTGTCATGCCGGAACGCGGGCATGGTTCAACATGCCGATCAACGTGCCGACACGTTGTCACGCGCGGGCTTCGGAGCAGGTTCCCTGCTGCGGTGTTGTCGTGCTTGCACATATGTGGGCACATGTGCTATGCCGAGGTATTGCCATGTTGGTATGCGTGCATGGCACATTGAAAAGATTCCCAGGTTTGACTACAGCATTGTCTGGCAAAGACACAACACTTGTAGGTGAACTTTCAATGTTGCCGTTGCCAAATAGGTGATTCATGCCTAGTCGTTGGGTTTTCTTGGGCCTACTGAAAGCTTTTTGATGCATATTTTCCTTCATGGTGACATCAAAGCAGCTTCGCTTCCAATCACCACTTTTTCGATAGAGTAGCCATGACTCGTTGAAGGAGAGCCACCCGAGCTTCATCTTCGAAAGACGGGTTGAAAAGTTCAAAAGCTTAGCGCTGTAATGAACTCATGAACAATTTTGATATGTAACTGTATATATATATATGTATTTATATACATACACATAAACAGGTATATATACAGATCTGTTTCATTCAAAGATTAGCTAAAACACAACACATACAATATAACTTAATTGAAACATGAAGACTCTATAGCGGAAAAATTGTTGATGGACCTATTGTACCTATCACTCTGAATGTAATAGTTACAGAAGGCATGCGCACCTTCCTATTAAGTACAGAGCTGAAGGCTGCAGTACTCCAAGTGGCCCAGTTGCGTATAGACGATAGGACACTCTCCGTGCAACCTTGAGATTGCCAGCTCAAGTCTTACATTTGCAAACAAATTCTCGTTTGCTCCACGCATGTAAAGAGCATGGAACCAAGCAACGCTAAGCATTAATCACCGCAACTCTTGGGTTTCAGTCCGGCCCATTTCAATCCACACGCAGCAACCAGACGCACGAATCCAGTGTAGTGACACCATTCTTTCACTTAGCAACTCTGGGGTTGCATTGGGTTTTTAGAAGTAGAGTTGAACAAGTGTTGGCGTCCTTGATCTTCCGACAGTCCGCAAGCGACTTGGCACTGAGGTACAAGTACATCCTTACTGTTCCATGGATCCCTGTTATTCATTTCTTTGGCCTGAACGACACTGGTTCCCTTTTTGCCCTGGAGTGGTGGATGCACTTTCCCGATGAGGGTGCCGGTGGCAAGTGCAACAAGGCTTCCGGGTGTTAACTGACTTGTGAGGGTTCGTGTGCTTGTTTCAGACCGAGGATGAAACATCCTCACACCCCACCGTCAAGAAATATGCCCTGTCTCTCTCGGGCGCAGGATTTCTGGAACAAGTGGGTGCCTCGGCGTTTGTATCATAACGCCTTTGTGGTGACCCTGTGGGCTTTGGTCTGGCTGCTGGGCACCTATCCCTTGGGCCGACCATTGAGCGAGGGCTGGAGGCGCTGGGTCGGGACATGCCCACGATGCGATTGCTTTCGCGCGATGACACATAGAAGAGGAAAAGAAGGAAAACTAGACGAACGAGAAGAGGAACAAACATTAGATTGAAAACCCATTGAGGTGTACTGTGTATGACGAATTACGGATCAGAGGCGCCCACCCAACCTGAAGAAACGGTGTGAACATGTATCAACACGATCCCAAGGAAGCGGCCTTGAGCTTCTAGTCAGGGATGACCCCGGGAGGGGCCCAATGCGCTGAACTGGGGAGCTTTGCGAGGGAGCCCTGCGGAGAGAACCCCCTGAGGTTCATGTTCACCGTGTCTTTCTTTGCTCGAATCGGTTTCTCGGCTGCCTGGATGTTCATCACGAACTTCACCCATTCGCTGCCTTGGAACGAGTTCTTGGCACAGGATCCAGGCCCAGACTTCTCCCGACATTTTGGCCTTTTGTTTTTTTTTGGGGGGGAAATTCAAAATGAAATCAGCATTCCAAGACTGAGATTCTGGCATGTCTTCCACCACATGCAGGCCGAACATGGCCAATCCTACATAATGTGATGGCCTTGGTCTTGGGCGGCAAGCACCGCTGGAATGAGATGTTGTTCCACGATGTCCACCACGCCTTCCCCAATGCAGTGGGCACGCTGAGCCAGCGTGGCCGTTTCCACGGCTGGGAGAAGGTACATGACGCAGCAGCCGAAGTCTTGCACCGTGGCCTGTGGAAGCCAAATGGCGATGAGGAGACGCAGATGCAGAAGACGCAGAAGAAACGCTCTCTCATGATGAAGCAGGGCAAGTGAACTGCTGACGCTAGGGTCTTGCACCACACATGATCCGGTCATGCAGCATTTGCTGTGCAAAGCAGCCCAGCGCTGCTTTTGGATTCTCGACTGCGCGATGTGCAGTTGGCACTCACTGCTAGCCACACGAACGTGTGGTCCTTATACGAGAGTTTCCGCACGTGGGCGGACAAAAAGACATGTTGGAATGTATTGAAATGTTTGATACGTCTATGTATATAATCAACAGTTCTCAGTCACAGACATCTTGAAACTGGAGCGTGTCCCACACTTCCCAAAGCCACTTGTCCTTTTAGATATTTGATGATATTTGAATTGAATCTGCCGCTCGCTTTTTTTCACTCCCAGCCTTGACTGCCACAGGTGCAGTTGGAGGATTTGGGGATTGCAGGTGTCCCATTGCAGAAGGACCCGGAGGTCCGCCGGGACGGCACTCACGCGGGTGGAGAATGGCATGCCTTGGCCCCCCCCCCCAAGTGTTGGCCATGTGCCGTAGGAAACGTGCCTGGGTTTGTCCGAGCGTTTTGAACAGGGTTCGTTGCCTTTTGACTCTTTCTGCGGCTTGTCCAGGTCTGGTGTGGGTCAGGGTGGTCGACCTGCTGCGCCTGACCAGCAGGTCCCGAAGCTGCCAGCGGAGGACGAGGAGCTCACGGACGCTGAAAGGAAGGACCGTCGCATCCGGCGGGGGGTCCATCCGAGGATGGACGGGTTGGGGGAGGTCGGGGGATCGAGCATCATGGAGACCTGGGCACCTAAATACCTAGAAGTGAAAGCCTTCAAGAATGTGTTTGACCTTTGACATCCTTTGACTACACATACATCAAACAGGGACTCTATCATTCTAGCATCTTTTTTTTTATAACTCCTTGCACATAGAGAGAAGGAAGGTAGGTAGGATCCATATCGGATTTGCTATGGCATGTTCCAGAATCGCTCTTCATTTTGCCATGCTTCAATGATGATTCTTGGGGCTAATTGGCTAATGCATTTTGTCTGAAGATTCATGGCCCGGCGATCACTTGGTAAATGTTCATAAATCCTAATAATAAGGAACGTCAGCCTCAAAATGTGAGACTGAGCTTGGTGTAGTTTCAAACCACTATGCAAAGCTGAGGTTTTGGTTGACTTTGATCAAGTATCTAGAAGACAGGGTGGGGATCCCTCCTGGCCGGAGACGCAGGGAACTGGTTTCTTTTCCAGGAAGGAAGGTCCGAAGATCAAACCACTTCAAGCTCAACCCGACATGATCAGGAAGAAGCGTATTTGCTTCTTTTTCTTGCACAGAAGAACCTACCCTTCCACTTCTTAATGGGTGAACAGCCACTTCGTTTATGCTCGACAAAACCGGAAACGACCGTCTGCATCGAGCCCTGGAGCGTCTGAGGCACTTCAACGCACAAAGACTCTGCCGAGAACTGCAGTCGGAGCGGGCGGCTTTTATGGCGGCGGAGGGGCGCCTGGGTTAAAGACACCAGTGACCCCAACTCCCTTTTAAGGCCATGGGAGAAGTTGACTGACTCAGCCGACTGGGCTTCGGAGATGAGCCACAGGGAATTCAGGGAATGGTGACTTTCTGCCGTTTGGGGACGTGCAAAAATTGGTGAGTCTAGGGCAGCGTCCGTGCAAGATATGAAAGCTTTCAACCCCTAGCATCATTTGCACGTAATGCATGCTTTGCCAGAGGCTATTCCTCCTCAAGACCCCCTGGATGAGCCCTGCAGGCCCCCTTGAGCTTGAACTCGGGTTGTTGAAGTGGGTGGTTGCTGAAGTCAAGTCAGCACGTCAAGTCGATCCAGCTATATAGATACTCCAAATATGGCGCGAGAAGGAACTCAACATCGGCGGGTCCCCACTGTCTCATCCCAGGTCTTGTCCGGGTCGAACTGGCAAGGAACGGCCGAAAGGACGTAACGCGGTCCCTTCGTAGATCAGAGGTGGAGACCATGGTTTCTCATAGAATTCACGTTGAATGGAAGCCCTTGAATGGCCAATCCAAAGACTACCGTTGAAAGGAGACATGTTGCACCACCTGAGATGTGTATGAGAAGTTGTTGAGGACTTCCAGTTTTGGTTTGGATTTGTCATGATTTCTTTTCACTCGGCTGCCGGACTTTTCTCCCCAGCTCGAAGGAGCGGCCGACCTTTGAGCTGAAGCTTCAAGTGGCTGAGGAGTTTCTGCATGCAGAGAAGGCAGGGTTTGCGCACAGGAAGGGGATCATTTCAGGACATGGTGGATACCGTGGATACCTCAATATGTCAAACGGGGCATCCCCAAAACAACACCTTTTTGTGCCCTGTTCCGCATCTTCTTGGTGCGCGATCAATAGTCCAACCACAGTTTGTGATGCCTCGATGGGTGTGGCGGTTCCGGGGTGGGACATGTTCGTCTTGTGGAAGGCATCGTTTGTTGGGTCTTTCACTCACACCGGTCGGCCTGAAGCCGGACAAAGCCGGACATGTTCCGGAGTGGCAACCCCCGGTGACCCACGAACGCCGTAACCCAAACCATTCCAGGTGGATCGTGTGGCTTCACATGGAGAACGACCGCCCTCGATGCTTCCCAGCAGGTCTATTTCCCACACAATGTGGACTTCAGAGGGCGGTCCTATCCGATTCCGCCAGCAGCTTAATTTACCAATGAAACGGCGCGGCATTTGGCACAAGCTTCCTTTTCCCAAATCCATGTCAGCGACTTAGCAGTCGAGTGGTTGGCGATTTTGCGGGTATATATATATATATTATCATTTGTAACAGTCAGTAAACAATTATCACTACTTTTGGACAAGGCCTCTACTAACCATCATCATCATCATCATCATCATCATCATCATCATCCACTGTTACAGGTAATAGGATAGACCCAACAGATATATATATATATAATATGAGCATTCAAACCGTACGTACTCAGCTCTTCTTTTTCCTCTCTCTCTCTCTCTGGTGTGTGTGTTTGTTGGCTGTTTCGTTGCTGTTTGAGGCCTCATTTGAACCACATTGGCGATGATGCCGCTTGGCTTTGATCTGCCAGTTCCAGTCAATTCATTATGTTAGAGGTTTCAAAACCATTCGCATCATTTTGTGCGGGAGTGTGGGGGCACCACCTTCTCCTCCGGGTCACCATAGTTCCAGATCACTTTGCTTTGCTTGCGCTGGCTATACTTCTTGGTTTGCACCTGGCTTTCTGACCGTCTGTTCCAGGAACAGGAAAGGTGATGCAGTTCTACCATGAGACATTTGAAGGGAAGACATGATCGCAGCACTGGGCAACGAGGAAGGCAGCAGGGCTACTTGCTTGTGGCGCACGTGTGCACGGTGGCAAAGTCTTCAGATCTTGATCTCCCAAAGACCCATCGAGGGTCGTGATGCCTGGGATTGAACTCTCGCAGGTTTGGAGGGTTTGTGATACTCGGCCTAAGCAGACAGCTTGAGAGGAAAGATTGCTCCCCGCCCTTCTGGTGCTCGAGCGGAGAGGCATGGCGATTGTCCGAACGTGTGAAGGGCAAGAGGATTTGGGAGTATACCTTCCCTCAGAGCTCTCAGCACAAAAGCTGATGGCTATCGGCAATTGTATGCAAAGCCGCAAAACCCTTGCTTGAAACCTTGTGTGTGATCGACCTCCACACTTTGATGGCTTTTTCTCCAGGGGACTTCGGGGAACATTTTGGGGGTGGCTCAGATTTGTGAGTCCCAGCTTTCGGCAGCTGAGTGCAGAAGTACTTTGCATCAACATTTTTGCGTGGAAGCTTTCATGCAGAGTCGTAGCCGTTTGAAGCGCCATGTCATCATCCCCGCTCTTGGGATCCCATCTGGTTTGAGCTTGGTCAGGTCGCGCAAAAAAAAGCATGCTTAAAGGGTCTGAGGAGCGACTGCGTGCTTGAACCCTGAGAAAACCGGTTCTCATGCAGACAGTATGAGCGGGTATGAAGCTGAAGACTTCAGCAGACTTTCAGATGCCAAAAGATCCGTTCTCAGTGAAGACTTCTGCAGAATTCACCTCCTCTTCCCGTCAACCGAGGTTAGCCGCGGCTTGCTTCAGTTTGCCGAAGGCAAAGCATTGGGCCCCGAGGGGCTTTTCTGGTCGCAGACTGAGCCGTGGGCCTTGGTGGGCCGCCTCACCGGCCTCGCCGGTGGTTTTGAAGAGTTACAGGTCGAAGGGTTGTGAATTGAATCCAGGCGCAGAGAAGATCAAAGAAGGACACCCATCATTTTCAGTTCTTCTAGTCTTTCCCAGGAACTGATCACATGCTCCTCTTGGCCTGTGCTCTTTTTGTAGGGGTCCGAAAAGAACGGGGAAGCCACTAGGCCCGCAAAAGCAGCGCTGCCTCAGGTTGAAGGTGAACCTCGCAAATCTCTTCGGCAAGAATAAGGCGAGTTTCGCGAAGATGACAAGCGGGGAGGAGTCACCACGATCGAGCGGGAAGCAAACAGTTCGTTCGTGGTCGATTCGATCCTCAGGTTTACGACCAGCGATGCCACAAAGTAACTCACTTTTTTCTCCATCCTCTTCAAACCTGATGGGGAGAACACTTTTTTTGGGGGAGACGGTCACTTCATGCAGTGCCGACAAATCTTGAACCTTCGTCCAGGGTTTGGAGATTATATTGCACATCCATATATTGCAAGTTCCAAGACTCTGTTTCAGTGCTCTTCTTTTCGCGCCTGTGGTGAGGTCTCTCTGGAGGATCGCGCTGCCTGGGTGGATGCTCAAAGGGAGACCATTGTCAAGGCGTGGAAACAAGCGGCAGAGGGACTTAACTTTCCCATGATTTTCAGCTGACAGGCCTGGTGAAGATAGACACCTATTGGTCATTCTAGCATTTGGCTGGAGATTTTGCCATCCCATCATGTGGATAAATTTGGCTGTGGATGTGGGTAACCGCACAAAAGATTTGGATGCTTCTCTTGAGGGAGAGAGCTTAAAGCTCAATGGTCAATCCTCCCGGGTCCGCCGTTGGACACATTGGCCCAACAGAATCATCAAGTGGTGGAAGCGTGGAAGC